CCCCTCCCAAGCCAATATTAAGGATGGGTGATCTCAGCATATGGTAGTTTCCCAAAATAAGGGGACCCTAATGTAGACCACAAAATACCGCAATCCTTATCATATGGACCGCTAAAAAGGGACCCCCCCAATTTTGGGAAACCCCCATATCTGTTCAGTGACCAGCTTCGTGCAGGAGCACCGCCATCCTTAACTTTCCAAACAGAGTCAGGCTCAGGCGGACTGTTCTTCCTTTGCAACCCAGGCTCTGGGCGCCTTTTCCTATAAAGTCCTGATGCTCATGCAAACACTGAAATATTAGCAATGACATCATCTGGAGTAGTGCATGCTTCCCCCCGGATCCATGCCTTCTGCGGATCTCCCTTGGCAGGGTGCTTTCGTACCTGGAACAGCAAGATCAGAAAGGGTGCAACGGAGCACACTGACACCGCCAGCTGAGGTGATCTCCTTTTTAACATGGATGTGTCTGAAGGAATTGCCAGACATGGCAGGACAGCTTGAAGAGCTTGTATGGTTAATCAATGCAAATCAGCGTTGCTCGCGGCCCGAGGGCCACGGAGGCGACAGGACAGGACAGGACAGGACCACGGTCAAAATTGAATCCACTTCCCAACCCGCGCAATACCTGCGCCATGTCTCCCATCCCCCACTTGGCAGCCCTGAGTGATCCTGCGTGCTCATCCGTCACCACCCGCATCCAAATGCTCATCGCCCATAGGCAGGCATCATCATTTGTGACGCTACCAGCGGCATGGCTGAGGCTAGTCCGAGTGAGTTGTTCCAAGGACGGGCCAGCACAGCCAACGAGGCGCACCCGCAAGCGAACTGTTGTGAGATAGCCTTGGCTGCAAGGCACTGCAAGGGTCTGAGTCTAAGTCGTGATCAAAGTGACAGTCCTCTCAGTGCATCCTCGCAGCGATCCTCTCCAGCGATCCATTTAGGCGTCCTCCGTGCTACGCCGGCCTTCCGCTCCTGACAGTGCTGCCTGGGCACACTGACTTACTTGGATTAGTGATTAGTAGGCAATAAGGGGATATATTACATAAGGAATATATATATATATATAGAGGGATGATATTCCGAGATTCCCTCCTAACACTCAAGAATAATCAAGAAGATCATAGAAGATCATAAGCCATTCGGAATACCAATACTCGGCCGAGAGGCTCCAGCAAGAAATCGTACCTCAACACTTTGTGCTACGAGCGAAAACTTTGCTAGAAAGCAAATCTTGACTCCAAAACAGCTGGGTGGCTTGATGTGAAAATGCTTGCAAAGAGGATGAGCCACGTTGTGCAGTTCGACCAAGATGTCTTCCACCGCCTCGCGGTTCCTCGACTGGCAAAAACTCGTCAGCATTTCTCGTTGTAAAAAGCTCTTTGCTGACAAGGATCTCAAGTTGCACCTCTTCACCTGCCACACGACAGGCTGAAGCGTGCTGAGGTCGATGCAGCTCAATCTCACCTAACCGGGATTCTGGATGGCCCTGGCCCTGGCCCTGGGTCTCCAAGGCTTGGGCCGGTGGCACCAAACATCGCCGAGAAAGTGATGGGAGGTCTGGGCATCTCCCGTTTCGCCTTGCTGGCAGCGACACCGAAGTCCAGGTCTCTGAGACACCCGTACAGCCTCGCCGTTGGCATCCAGGGATCTTTGGGTTGAGCAGCTCCTTGTCCGAGCAAGGGAACGTTCCTGTGATTGGCAGATTGCATCTGAGAAAGGTTCCAGCAAGAATGCACAACTTCGTCGTCCTTCCGTGGGCTGCGCGAGTCCGCTGCGACACGCTGCCTTCGCCAGCTAAGAACGATGTCAAAGTACACTCAATGACGAGATTTGACAAGACAAGCCTTGCCTATCCGGACCCACACTTTGTTGTCGCCGCAAAGGGGTGCTGGCCATGCTGGCTCCTCAGCGTATCTCGGAGCACTCAACCGAAAAGGAATGCAGCACCAGACCTCGAGAGGGGGCGGCAGACTTGGCGCGGGGGCTTGAAGGACGCTGAAGCTCCTCCTCCTTCCTGAGCTGGCTCAGCGAAGACCGCAACATGTATGGATCCCTGGTACACTCCTTTCTTGAACATGCAAATAAGACACGTCCCCTGGTAGGCACAGCTTTTGGTGGTGCTCTTCAAGCAAGGAGACCCCCAAGCAGTGGATGAGAACAGTGCAGCATGTTGTTGAAGCAGGGCATCCTAAGGCAGCGCACATGGGAAAGGAAAACTTGAAATTTCTGGCTGCAGAAACTCCAGCCTCTTGGCTGTCTCTCAGTCTCCGCAAGGCCTGCAAGGAGCTCTGGAGCTCTTAGCCCAGATGCATTCTTTTCCGAAAGAAATGGGTTCAGGCCTGAGCTTGTGCGATGCCTGGCTCGCCATGAAGAACATAAAGCGAGCTCCAGCCAGCCTCGGGGCCAAAAGCTTTGCGTATCTTCGGGTGCTTCTTTGATTTCTGCTTGGAGCCAAGTATCTTCGGAGACAGCTCCCGTTGCTGGGGGCACCCTCCGCGGTGACATCGAGCGCGTGCGGGAAGGGCTTTCAAGTAGGGGAGTCGAGGAGGATCTGAGACGGGCCAGGTCATGCCAGGTCAAACCTGTTGCAAGCTCTGAGAGGTCTGTGCCTGCCAAAACTTGGAAGCGAGTCGCCGGTGAGGTCCAGAAGTGGCCTTGACGAGACTTTTGCATTGACCCACATCCAAGCTTGTTAATCTACACAAGGCGGGGCTTGGCCTTTCGGGAGCCGGATCTCTTGAGTCGCAGGCTTCGCCTCAGCTTCGGTAGTTTTAGAACTCTCTGCCTTCCAGCAGCTGCCTGCGGCCACGCAACATCCACAGGGAGTTCGGAAGGTGATCATCTTGAAAGCTCCTGAGTTGCTGCGTTGACTCTTGCAGGAACGGAAACCCGACCTACGGCCAAGAAGCACCAAAGAAACACACGGAAAAGCATCTGCTTCCCAGGCGCGTGGACAAGTGGGAGGCTGTCGCCGGTGCGAAGCCTTGGAGAGCGCAGGGCCCAGTTTAAGTGCCAAGTCTGGGCGGGTGAAACAGGAGGGGCCCTAGTCCCCACCCTTTACCCTCGACCCATGGTGGCAGCGGAAGACGACCATCTTATGCGGCGCTTTGGCTGCATCCAGGCAGCAGGAAAAGGAGGGGGTTCATGGTGGTCTTGGCCTGCCGCACCTGCGTTTGCCAAAGAGTTGAGCACACTGCGAAGCTCCGGAAACCCAGCAACAATGACTTCAAACGCCGATCATAATCACGCGATAGCCAGCAAGAACAAATTAAAACGGGACATGAGAAGAAATGCAACGAAAAGATGCACAACCCGAGCCTGCAACATCGGCGGGATCGTCAGCCTGCCTCGGTCAGTGTGTGCGAAATAGGGATTATATTAGGTTCAGGGTTTCTGGACACAACAAAGTCTGTCCCAAGACATCCCAACACTAGCAACCCGCCTCTGGACCCAGCACACTCCACGTTTCAGACCCCCCAAGTGGGCTCATCCACGACTTCCCTGCCTTTGTAGCAGCTGCGGAGAGGATCTCTGCTTCTGAAGTCGGCCCTTGGCTCATCGAATGGACAGCGTTAACAGTGCTAACCCGAACTTTCAGGCTGCAGGCAGGTGGCCGATCGGTCAGATAGCTCTGGTTCAGACCCACTAAAAACCTGTGAGACGCAGGTGCGTCACATGCTGGCTGGAATGGCTGAGAGAGATGTGTGAAGGGCCTGGTCTTGCCCTGCGTGCGGCTTCGGAGGCTCTGCTCTTGTCCCTCCGTGTGCAGAGCAGGAACTTCAACCGAGCATCAACTTCTGGGGGCCAGCCATGCTAAATCTGGCTTTGACTGAAATGACCTGCCAAGCTGCTCCTCACCAGTCGGCTGAAGGAAGGAACAGACAGGGGCCCTGGCGATGCCAACACAAGATGCACTGCACTTGCCCGCAAACCTATGGATTAATACCCCGGGCATGAAATGCGACTTGACGCGGGTGGAACCCCTATCCGAAAGCGATTGCCTGCCTGGTAAGAAACTCCTGGCCCACATCTCAACTTCTTGGACATCTTCCGCAGCACCATGGCATGCATGGCCCCTTTGAATTGATTGCAAATTCTGCACGAGCCTCTGAAGGGACGCGATGTATCTGGTCCATGCGCTTGTTATGATTTGAACAGTGGATATGCCCTAAGCCCACCCCTCCACGACCTCCACCTTGAGCGCCCAAGATGTCAGCATCATATCTAGAGTCTAGAGCTGCAGGCTGCAGTGCATTCACCACCTTACAGGCCGTCGCTTTGAGGCGAGTTTTTGTCCCCGGAGGCTTCAGTGCGGAGTCTTCGCCCCACCTCTTCCCAAAGGTCACCTTCGCTCCCTCCGCTTACTCTCAGGGCATCAGCGCCAGCGGCCTTCAGGAGCCGCTTCCGATGCTTGGGCCTCTCAGCCAAACAGGTTCGAGGTAATCAAAGTCAAGCACTTGAGGGTTATTGACTTCATGCCAAGGGTCGCAGCAGCTATTCGCACCGCCTGTTCCCGGACACGCCCCAGCATCTCATCCTGAAAGCAATTTGTAGATACTGGGCTCGAAGAACTGCGAAGGAGCACGTCAGTTAGTCTTTCACCGAGACAAACTGAAGCTAACATGTTCACTTCAAGCGTCTGTATTTGCTGCTTGGATCTCAGCTTCCTCGGTTCTAGCGGTCCAGCAAATGCAGCAAGAAATATCTCTGACAACCTTTAAGCACGGCAAGGAACCAGAACGGCAACCTCTCGCTTGATGGAGCCAGCAAGCCTTTGGAAAGTCAGGCCAAGCATGTCATGAATCTCACGAGTCCAACTTACCAAGAAGCTCGTAGTCCTCCAACTCCACGGCTTTGCGCTTCCGAACATGTAACTGCTCCACAGAGGCCAGCTTAGATGCAGCGAGCAGCCTTGGTCCAACGCCAAGTGAATCTAATGAAACCTGACGTAACACAAGCACGAGGCGTGATGTGTGTGGCAGCATGGGCCCTGCGTCCAAGGCACTGCAGCGCGCGTTCACGGCCAGCTGAGGTCACAGCTTGGGCACCCAGCTCCCGCGCCTTGAGCCGGGCCGCCACATCGAAGGCCTCTGCCGCTGCGGCACGGCGCTTCAGCACCGCCAGCAGCGCTGCCTGTGGGCACGAGGCAAGCTAGGCAAGCTGGGCAAGTTGAGCACTCCAAGCTTTTCCGCAGTCCCTTTGGCCTGCACCATGCCGGTTGCCCAATCCTCGATGCAGCGCTCCTCACTGAGCTGGACCACTTGGACTTCTCTCTCCCTTTTCGAATCGGGCTCAGGCTCAGGTGTTGTCTCCACCTTGGCCTTGACCTCCTGAGGCTCTTTAGTTTTGTCTTCTTCCTTCACTCCAGCGTCATCTCTTCCCAACGCCACGCGGAGCCAGGGTCTAGCAGTCGGTACCATCCTGCCACTCAGAGCATCCTTGTATCCGCCCGATTTTTGTACGGCTGTAGCTTGCCCATCATGACCTCCGCAGACGCTTGCTGCGTCTGTCCGGCCAAGCAACGTGAGAATACCAAGCCCCACTTCTTCGGCGGCACCATCCGAGCCTGCAACACACTCCTCCATGCCAACTAGGAAATCACCTTTCGGCGACCCTAGGAAGTTCAAAGCACGCAGAATCACTTCATCAGTAAAGCCGAAGTCCGAATCAGGCCCTGCACTTTCATCTCGAGATGCAACTTTGTCCAAGAGCGCATCCGCCTGATCAGATAGCTGCTTCCTGATTTCATACACTTCGTCCAGGGAACTTTCAAGCCCAGGCTTCAGCTGACATTGGGCACCACCGAATTCTATCTCATTCGAAGATATCCTGCGCGGCGCACTGGGTCCGAAAATGCAAGCATGTGCATTGCTGATGGCAGTCTCCACCTCTCATGTTGCATTCCGACTTGCTGCAGATTTAGGGTTTGAGGGAATCGGTTTTGGGGTTGCCAAACCCTACTTAACTCCAGGCGGTTCTGCAGTATTACTGGCAAGAACAGAAAACGTTGGCCTCCGCCTCAGTTTGGAAGCAAGCTAACAGTTGTGAGATTTACCTCTACTCACAATTGCGGTCTCAGAATGACCCAAACGATTATCACTCTAAATTCGCTGTGCCACAACCAAGTCAAGGAGAGCATTTCTAATCACGGAGAGTGGAGTACAGGGGTGGCTTTGGGATGCTGCGAAACAAGATTGGCTTCACCTCCAGAAATCCATCAGCAACATCACCTCGCACTCGCCATGCGTCCTTGCCAGGCCGTGGCGGAAGAGAAGCACAGAGCGCAGCAAGGGCTCGCTGCTTTTGGTCTTCACCCCTTGGATGGTCAATGCTTTTGCCTTAACTACATGCGCTTGCGCTCCGTGAGATGCTTGGAACAATGAATGTGGCAAGGAATTGAACACATCGAAAAGACAAAAGGAAAAGGAGAAACCGCCGATCGCCCACAATCTCAAGTTGCCCGAACTGAAACAAAAATGGTGCATCTCCAAATCCAGCTGGTGATCAGCATGGATTCCACAGCCCATGTCCTCGTTCGCGGCCGCTGTTCTGAATATTTGTTGTCTTGGGTGTGTTCCAATACATCAGCTGCATCCTCGCCGCAGTACCCAAAAGCTGTAAAGGCATATCGACACATGGCGATGACTTTGCAATCCAAAGCTTCCCAGACAACGTCTCCCTTCCGACATCGGAGCTGCCCATTGCTGGCATCATGTGCTTTTGACTCTTTCCACCTCAAATATGCAGCAACCATGACGAAGTGACCTGACCAACAAGTTTGGAGTCGAGAAGCCGATGTCCGGGAAACTTTTTGCCACAACTTTCGCAAATCCTTGTTTGGTGTCAAGCCCCCCGCAAGTGGCTGCAACAGAGCAACGACAGCCGCAACAGGCACTAAACATTTCCAGGCAGACCCCAAAAAAAGAGCTCTCAGAACTGCTGGTGACCGCGGGAAAGTGTTTCTGTTACAATCATCCTTTGTGCTTGCACTTGAGGCGGCCATCCACTTGCCGAGCGCGGTCAAATGTGGTGGGTGACCATAATCTCCAGGTTGCAATGCGCCCAAATACCACAATCGGCGTGCAGCAGAGACTAACATACTCGCTGCCGCCTCTGCTATCAGCAGCTGCTCTTCATGCTCAATATGCTCGAACTTATAAAGGAACCTCAACAACGCCGAGACCACCCCTGCAATCTCACCAGTTTCTGCCTGGGAACCATGTTGATAAGGATCAGACTGGCATTTTTCCAGAAATGCAGCATGAAGCGTATTTGGTGTTTCCGCGTTTCCTTGCACATCCTCGCTGAGCCCGGTGTCCTGTATGGTCACGGATCGGAATGCAGGCTTCGGAAAAAGAAAACAATCAATGATGAAAGGTCTGGACTCCATGTTTCAATTTTCGTTCATAACGAGTCCTCTGCATTGCCTGCATCTTCCTGCCAAGCAGCGTCAAACTCATGTCGGCTTTGTGGCCTGTCATCTGCCATGACAAAGGCACCTAAAGCAAAAGCCGACACATGCTCACCGTTCGCGCAAACCATACATGCAATATTTGCGATGCTTCATATATGTATATACCTTCTCTCCTCAGATCTGAAAGGATCTCTTCTCCACACCCCAGCCCACCAGCTTAAAACCAAGATTCCATCAAAGCAGTCAGCTCAATTGCCCGTGGCCCAAAAAATCATAATCCCCACAGTAGTCAAATTGCAGATGGAGCTGTTTCGGGCTGCCGACAAATACATCGATATTCACTTCATTGCAAAAATTAGATCATGCGCATTGATAGAAAATCTAATCAGCACAAACTTGAACTGACACGGTGACTATAATCCGACAAGATGCAGACAAAGAAGTTGCATACCGGGAAACGTCATCACCTTTCTTTGCTTAAAAAGTTGTGTGAAGTGGGGTTTCATCGCATAACATGCTCGTCGTACCCTGCACCATATACACTTCACGTGAATATGCATCCTCATCACGAACTGTTTTCAAGCAACATTTTGGTTTGTGCGAGCGCTTGCTCGGGAAAAATTTGAACGTTTTTGTGCTTAATTTTTTATTCCATGACCCCGCCTGCGAAACACGTCAAAGCCGAAGTATCGACCACGCTTACTATGGGCATGATGGAACATCCTAAGGCTCAACCATGCCACCGCGCAACATCCAGTTGAATCTGTTAAGAACCATATTTTTGCAAAGCATTCTTGAAATCATAAACCTTGAAGCCTTGAACCCAACATACTTCCCACACAGGCTATGCAAAAAGAACATGATCGACCCCGGTTTTGGCAGCAACAACATAGTCAAAAATCACAGAAGCAACGGCGAAACACACAAAACTGATCGCGCACGTTCGTCTACAAAAATGAAGCCAAGTTTCAAAAGATGCACCGATTCCTTAACAACACATCGAATGCAACACACATCCCCGAGCAGACACACATCTACGGGGTCTTTACACAAAACTTGCCGTTGCTGTGAATGCAACATGATGCAACCAAACAACGTAACTTCTTACCCGCCCCCTCCACACCCCACCCCCCACACCCCCAAAACACCAAACGTCCAAAAGTGCAAAAAGGTGACTGGTTAGCTGTGTAAAGCACTTGCACACCAGGTAAACCCAAAGCTTGCGCTTCTTTGTTTTCGCTCTTCGATTTTGCTAAAAATCTTTTTCACAGAAGCGCCTGCGGAGATGCACAAAGACTCAAACATTGGGCTCAAGTATATACAAGGGAGCAAATACCAAAACAACACAAATCAGTTTCAAATACCGGCATGGAAAACAAGGGGTGTTCTAC